TCCCACAGAGCTGCAGGAGACCTGCGCCTCGTCGAGAATTGGCGACCCGTGTTCCTCTTTGTGCGCCGACTACAAAATCTTCTCCAAGGTGCTGGCAAACCGTCTCAAGACAGCGCTGGGTCAGCTGATCCTGCCGGAACAGTCGTATTGCATCCCCGGACGGTGCATATACGACGACATCGGTACGGTCAGAGACATGGACTTGGGCCTCCTCTTCTTGGATCAGGAGAAGGCCTTTGACAGGGTGAGCCACGAGTACCTGGACAAACTCCTAATGTCGCTCGGCTTCGGCCAGGCCTTCATCTCGTATGTTAGGCTTCTGTACACGGGGGGCACATCCAGCCTCTTGAAGATAAACCAGCGGCTCGGCACCCCTTTCCCTGTGATGAGGGGGGTCAGACAGGGATGCCCCCTCTCGGGGCTGCTGTACACCTTGTTCATTGAGCCACTGCTACGCCACCTCAGACGAAATCTGTCTGGCCTCAAGGTCCCGGGACCTGAGAACGTGGTCGTCAAGCTCTCAGCGTACGCAGACGACATATGCGTCGGGATCAGAGGACAGTCTTGGACCTCGTGCAGGCCCACCTGCGCAAGTGGAAGATCGCAGCTGAAATCACCAGCATCTTGGGACTCCGCTCCATGCTTGCCGGGGAGAAACTGCTGCGGGACGTCGCTCCACGCCATGAAGGAGCTGCACCTGAAGCTGGAGGCGCTGGGGGACAGTGGCGCCCCCCCCCCCCCCTCCTTCTCCTTCCCGGAGTTGTGCTTCTCCTCCACGCAGCCCCCTGGCCACAGCGACTCCGGCAAGCTACTGAAGCTCTGAGGCTGCAGGAACGTGCCCCTAAGAGTGCCCCAAACACAGTGCTCCACACGTGGCTGTGTCAAGGTGCTGCATTCCCAGGACCTGGCCGACCTACCGGACACAAAACGGAGAGACCATTTGTCTCCCCTCATTGCGACCGCCCCCAGTGAAAACAAATGTACAAAGTCTCCTGTAGCCAAACGCTGAAGTGACCTCCAGTGGAGGTTGGCACACTGCACGTTGCCATCGTCCGTGTGGCTCAGTCGAATCTCGCCAGGGGTAACAGACTTGGTGCATTTCCTGCGGTGCCAGGGAGGATCTGCCCCACCGGTACTTACACTGCCAGCGGCTCAAACCAATGTTCTGCCTTTTGGGGGACATCTTCGTAAAACTGGGGGGGGGGGGGGGGGGGGGGGGGGGGGGGGTACCCCTTCTACAACAGCAGCTTCGTATATGGGGTGGTGCCTTACCTGGCTAACAAGCGCCATGACCTCGCCAACTTCGCCTGTGCTCAGGCGAAGTTGGCGGTGTACCGAACGAGGAGCAAGATGCTGCAAGGTGACACTGACGTCTGCCTTGTGCTGCTTCCAGTGTTCAGGGGCCTGCTCAAGGCGCGGCTCCGGCTGGAGCACGCCACGTGCCACACACACGTGTCGGTGATGTGCAGAGCGTCTTCTTCGAACGCTGGGGAGCCGGACAAGCCCCTCTCTGTACCAGCGTGGACGGCACCACCCCACGTGTTCACCTTCTGAAGCGCTCGCTCGTCACCGTGGCGTGCGCGATGACCACCAGCACCACCACCACGTGACTTTTATTTCGTGTTATGCGCGGTGCTTTTAGCGCCACAGCGCGTGGATTTTTGGTATTTCATATTCTTGGGTCTTTCGTTAAAGTCACGTAGATAGGTTCAAAGAAAATATCTATCTACGTGGCTTTACCTAAAGACCCAAGAAAATGAATTCCTGCAGTCACGAAAGCTTTAAGTCAAGATTCATAGTATTTGTTATTTGTGTTGCTGGTGACTTTGTGTATTTCGTATCGGATTCGCCTCCAGTGCTGTTGCTGCTGGCGGCAATAAAAGTTGTTTAAAAGTCTCTCCACGTGTCTCTCTCTCCCCATGTCACACTCTCTCCCTATTTTTTTTTAATTCGCTTCCACCAACAAATCCTTTATTTAATATTGCAATACAGATGTCTGGGAAGACTAAAAGAAAATAACAATACAATTAAACAATTATTCTGTGCAGTTATTAGCTTGAACAGAAAAACAAACTGAATTACTGCACTTTCTCCCTCTCTCCCCGTGTGTCACACTCTCTCCCTCCCCTTTTCTCCACGTCTCTCTCCCGTGTCGCTCTCCCTCTCCCCGGGTCCATCTCCCCCAACCCCCTCCGTCAGTCTCTCTCCCTCTCTTTCTCTCTCTCGCCGCTATTCGTGCACCAGCACAAACAGCTCCTTGGTTTTACTTTCGAACGAACGTATTTGTCGCGCATGTCGTGCGTAACGACCTACAGTGAGGGAAAAAAAGTATTTGATCCCCTGCTGATTTTGTACGTTTGCCCACTGACAAAGAAATAATCAGTCTATAATTTTAATGGTAGGTTTATTTGAACAGTGAGAGACAGAATAACAACAAAAACATCCAGAAAAACTAATGTCAAAAATGTTATAAATTGATTTGCATATTAATGAGGGAAATAAGTATTTGACCCCCTCTCAAACAGAAAGATGTATGGCTCCCAGGTGTCTTTTATACAGGTAAGGAGCTGAGATTGCTCCTAATCTCAGCTTGTTACCTGTTTAAAAGACACCTGTCCACAGAAGCAATCAATCAATCAGATTCCAAACTCTCCACCATGGCCAAGACCAAAGAGCTCTCCAAGGATGTCAGGGACAAGATGTTAGACCTACACAAGGCTGGAATGGGCTACAAGACCATTGCCAAGCAGCTTGGTGAGAAGGTGACAACAGTTGGTGCGATTTTTCGCAAATGGAAGAAACACAAAATAACTGTCGATCTCCCTCGGCCTGGGGCTCCATGCAAGATCTCACCTCGTGGAGTTGCAAAGATCATGAGCACGGTGAGGAATCAGCCCAGAACTACACGGGAGGATCTTGTCAATGATCTCAAGGTAGCTGGGACCATAGTCACCAAGAAAACAATTGGTAACACACTACGCCGTGAAGGACTGAAATCCTGCAGCGCCCGCAAGGTCCCCCTGCTCAAGAAAGCACATATACTTGCCCGTCTGAAGTTTGCCAATGAACATCTGAATCATTCAGAGGACAACTGGGTGAAAGTGTTGTGGTCAGATGAGACCAAAATGGAGCTCTTTGGCATCAACTCAACTTGCCGTGTTTGGAGGAGGAGAAATGCTGCCTATGACCCCAAGAACACCATCCCCACCGTCAAACATGGAGGTGGAAACATGCTTTGGGGGTGTTTTTCTGCTAAGGGGACAGAACAACTTCACCGCACCAAAGGGACGATGGACGGGGCCATGTACCGTCAAATCTTTGGTGAGAACCTCCTTCCCTCAGCCAGGGCATTGAAAATGGGTCGTGGATGGGTATTCCAGCATGACAATGACCCAAAACACACGGCCAAGGCAACAAAGGAGTGGCTCAAGAAGAAGCACATTAAGGCCCTGGAGTGGCCTAGCCAGTCTCCAGACCTTAATCCCATAGAAAATCTGTGGAGGGAGCTGAAGGTTCGAGTTTCCAAACGTCAGCCTCGAAACCTTAATGACTTGGAGAAGATCTGCAAAGAGAAGTGGGACAAAATCCCTCCTGAGATGTGTGCAAACCTGGTGGCCAACTACAAGAAACGTCTGACCTCTGTGATTGCCAACAAGGGTTTTGCCACCAAGTACTAAGTCATGTTTTGCAGAGGGGTCAAATACTTATTTCCTTCATTAAAATGCAAATCAATGTATAACATTTTTGACATGAGTTTTTCTGGATGTTTTTGTTGTTATTCTGTCTCTCACTGTTCAAATAAACCTACCATTAAAATTATAGACTGATCATTTCTTAGTCAGTGGGCAAACGTACAAAATCAGCAGCGGATAAAATATTTTTTTCCCTCACTGTAGCAAGGCCGTAGCCATGGAGTTAACTTTGGGGGGGGACCAAATCTTCCAGGGTGTCTGGAGGTCTCAACCCAGAAAAATATCTACATTTTAAAACTCATTTCTTGCCTAACACATGGGATGGACTTTTTATTTATTTTTTACAATAATGTCTAAGAGTGTATTGTATTTAATTGCTCTGTTTTTACTTTTTTTATTTACCATTTATTGTTTCATTGTAATGGCAGAGATTAGGGATTAATAAAGTAACAACCATGACCACAATCATAAAAACAGAAATCTATGCATTGATTTATATGAAGACAAGTCCAGATATTGTGGTCAAGGTTTAGCAAATTGTTGTTTTTTATTTACATAGCGTAGCAATTTGTTTTTTAAAGCAATATATCGGGGGGGGGGGACATTTTGAGCATATTTAAATATTGGGGGGGTTCGAGTTTCCAAACGTCAGCCTCGAAACCTTAATGACTTGGAGAAGATCTGCAAAGAGAAGTGGGACAAAATCCCTCCTGAGATGTGTGCAAACCTGGTGGCCAACTACAAGAAACGTCTGACATCTGTGATTGCCAACAATAAATATTATAATTACGGCCTTGAAACCTAGTGTCGTGATGCACGTGGCACGTGCAGAGCGTGCGCCGCGGGTAGCGTTTGCGACGTGCACCACGTGACGCTGTCGCCGATGGGACTCGTATCGAAATCGGCTCCAGTGCTTTTGCCTGCCGGCAGCAATAGCATTAGTTTATTCTCTCCTTCTCCTCCCGTGTCTCTCTCCCCCTCTCTTTCTCCCCGTGTCCCGCTCCCTCTGTTTCTCTCTCTCTGCCTCTCTCCCTTGTCTCCGCGCCCCCCCCCCCCCCCCCGTGTCACCCTTTTATTTTACGATCAGAGGAATCAAGAAGATGCTCGGTGTAGTCGGCACTTTGCTCCGTTCATCATTTCGGTGTTTTTTTTCAATGCTTTGCTTAATGTGCCCCCAACCCACTTTTTAAATGAAAGATTTCACCAAAAATCTCACCCCCTCTCTCTCTACCCCCTCTCTCCCTACTCTATGTCTATGTTTTTCCGTCTCTGTCTCACCCTCTCCACGTGTCTGCCTCTCTCCCGCAGTTCTTCGCGGCCCTCACCACGATCGCCTACATTCTGAGCGCCCTGCTGGGCTTCGCCACCCTGAAGGGACTCTCCATGCCGCTCGCTCGCTCCCGGGAGGCGGCGTCTTAGGCGGGAGCGTGACCCAAACCCTCAACCCACACGGCCAGCATCATCATCAGCAGCAGCAGCATCGGCAGCATCATCAGCAGCATCATCATCTGCTGCATGAGCAGCGCATCAACAGCATCAACATCATCATCATCAGCAGCAGCCATGATAGCTGCAACATTTACAATCTTGGTACAAGGTACAATCTTGTAAATGTTGTGGCTTGGCTCACCAAACACACCAACGTGCTGTGCTCGTGACGAATTGGCCACGTTCTGTTTACGTGACGACCCTTGCTAGTCGGCTGTGTCGGGTGGTGGCGGGTTGCAACGACACAACATTTATATATTTACGCGATCTAACCCAAAACAACTCTATTATGGATGATATTGGTCGCGAAAGCTTCCTACGTGTTAAACTGATCAGCAGTATCATTAAGCAGCAGCTTCAGTAGCATAATCAGCAGCATCAGCAAGCGGCATAATGAGGAGCTGCAACATCACCAGCTGTAGCATCAGCAACAGCTTCATCAGCAACAGCCTCATCAGCAGCTGCAGTATCAAGCACCACGCACTAGCACCACCACGCCTTACAACTGCACCTACAGCTCCACACAGCCAGTAGGAGCACCGGCAGGGCTAGCAGCATCATCCCCAAGCTGCAGAGACAATCTATTAAAACTTATCACTCGTCGCCTCCGCCTGGGTGATCTTAGTCGTACTTTGGTCGGGGGGGGGGGGAGCCTGACGCATGCGTAGCGGTGAAAATAAGATTTGTATCTAATAGCGGGGTCAGGTTTTGTGTCCAACGCATCCGTGTGTTTACGTGATAACGCACGTGGAGCTCCAGATTAGCACGTTGGAGCGCTGTCGCGATCATTATTATCCATAATAGAGGTTGTTGTTTTTTTTGGGGTGGGTATAAATCGCGTAAATGTCAACTTGTGTTGATTAACTGTGAACAGCCCAACCATGAAGAAATAGCCATTGTAATTTATATGAATATACTAGCTTTACTACCTCGCTTACGCCCAGGACTTGGATTCACCACGCCCGGCCGCCTTTGTTTCCCCAGTGGCGATGTTCACACACACCACACCAGTTACTCGTTTAGATGCTGAGTCGACCTAGGGGAGGCCCAGGACCGGTTCAAATAATCGTCACCGGTGGTGGCCGTGAGCGGGAATCGAACTCGGAGTCGCCGGGTTCGTAGCGCGGCGTAGCGCTAACCACTACACCACCGCTCCCCCCACACACACAGACAGCACGCTAACCACTACACCACCGCTCCCCCCCACACACAGACAGCACGCTAACCACTACACCACCGCTCCCCCCACACACACAGACAGCACGCTAACCACTACACCACCGCTCCCCCACACACACAGACAGCACGCTAACCACTACACCACCGCTCCCCCCCACACACAGACAGCACGCTAACCACTACACCACCGCTCCCCCCACACACACAGACAGCACGCTAACCACTACACCACCGCTCCCCCACACACACAGACAGCACGCTAACCACTACACCACCGCTCCCCCCACACACACAGACAGCACGCTAACCACTACACCACCGCTCCCCCCACACACAGACAGCACGCTAACCACTACACCACCGCTCCCCCCACACACAGACAGCACGCTAACCACTACACCACCGCTCCCCCCCACACAGACAGCACGCTAACCACTACACCACCACTCCCCCCACACACACAGACAGCACGCTAACCACTACACCACCGCTCCCCCCCCACACACAGACAGCACGCTAACCACTACACCACCGCTCCCCCCACACACACAGACAGCACGCTAACCACTACACCACCGCTCCCCCCCACACACACAGACAGCACGCTAACCACTACACCACCGCTCCCCCCCCACACACAGACAGCACGCTAACCACTACACTACCGCTCCCCCCACACACAGACAGCACGCTAACCACTACACCACCGTTCCCCCCCACACACACACAGACAGCACGCTAACCACTACACCACCGTTCCCCCCCACACACACACACACAGCACGCTAACCACTACACCACCGCCCCCCCCACACACAGCACGCTAACCACTACACCACCACACACACACACGTGCGCGCGTCCATAGGTACACACACACGCGTTTGCTGCAGACACACACACACACAACTTTCAGGGTGCCTACGGCAGTAAACGACTCAAATAATAAAGCAATTGCTGCGAGGAAGAACGCCTTAGACCTGCAACGCATTTTTATTTCACTTTACCCGCGGAGAGTGTGGTGACATGAGCTGGCACACTGCGTGACGCTTCCGCATACGGGTCACATGACAGATGTGACGTCACAGTTAGTTTGCCGTGCAAAATAAATGCATTATTGCGCGCCCCCCTCCCCTCCCCCCACCCCCGAAAAATGCAAAAGTATATTTTTATAATTGCTGCATGGTGTACAGTCTGGAAAGTACCCACATGGCAAATCTCAAGTTTGCTGCATGTCGGGAAGTACGCTAAACGCTTTGAACAGACGCGCATAATCACCACTTTGCCTGTTATATGTACGGAGATAGACTATTACACCGTCCAAATCTGGTCTTTCGCGCCTGATTGGCTCACAAGTGACGGCATCACGTTTACTCCCTGATTATGCTGCTCGTTGTAATCGCCGGCACAATGTCACAGCTACTCAAAATTGTAAATGTTGCTGTCGGTTCGTGCTAAACCAGTAGTAAGGAATTGTCCACGTTTTGTGCGCACGTGACAAACCTTACCGGTTGGCTTGAGTCGGGTGGTGATCATGGCGGATTTTACAACACATTTATACATTCTAGATTTAAAGCTTTCGTGTTACTGCAAGGATCCATACTCTTTGGTTCTATTCGGTAAAGTCACGTAGGTAAAAAATAAAATAAAACAACAAAAATCACGACGTTTCGGCCACAACACAAGCGGCCTTCATCAGGTGAAGGGACCAGGCTGTCTCGAGGACAGCGCTGGAGTGAACACAGCCAAGCTCAGACCGCGACCTTTAAGCTGTGTGAGAGGAATTAAGGTGCCTTGACAAAGGAATTAGCATAACAAATTAGCATTTAATTGGCGGACTTAGCATGATGAACGGTGTAGAGGGGGTGAACTTGTGCAGACCAGCGAGGGGGAGAGGGGGAGTTTACATATTGATGGTGTGATAAGGGAATTTAAGCAGCTGCGAAAGTTTGGGATACCACTACTTGAAAAAATATACTGTACCATTGAAAATTAGTTTAATGTTTGGTTCGATTCAGAACATCTTTCCAATGGTTGCTTAATTTGAAACCATCCTCTCGTTTGAAATTGTGTCTGTGTTTGTAAATCTGAATTGCCTCGTGAACAAATCTCTGATTAAAAAAAAAAACGCGTGGGATTGCAAAGAAATAATTATTGGTTCTTTCGGTAAAGTCACATAGAAGGGAAATAATAAAATAATAAACATTTCTTTTTGCTGTGGTTTTCACACCTGAAGATGATTGCTTGTGGTGCAATCTAAACGTCGCGATGAATTGTATTGTTTTATTTTTATTATTTTATTATTTCCCTTCTACATGACTTTACCGAAAGAACCGAGAATATGAATCCCAGCAGCCACGAAAGCTTTAAATCGACATATTCTTAGCTCTTTCGGTAAAGTCACGTTGAAGGGAAACAATCAAATAATAAAATATATATAAAACAATAAAAATTATCACGACGTTTAGACCATAACACAAACGGTCGTCATCAGGTGTGTCGGTTTGCATTAATTAATTTATTTTTAAACGGTGTATTTATTTATACAACGTCAGCGCCACGCGCAGCGATTTGGCAGTTTATTTAGAAGGACTAGTCCATCTATGTTCTGAACAGAGGAGGGGGGAGACGAAAAATTAATGTATGCTGTCTGAAAGCCACTGTAAGCGTGAACAATCAATTAAGACCTGAAATGGTTTATCAAATCCTTCCAATGATTGCTAAGCCAGAATCCATCTTCTCGGTTGAAATTGTCTCTGTGCTTGTATATGTGGATAGCCTAATGAACGAATCTCTCATGGTAGCCAGATGGCTTACAAAGAACCTCTGTCTTGGAAAAGTCAATGTCATGTGAGCCTACTGAATTATAACAATGATCTGCCACGGCCGAGGTGAATTCTGGCTTAGCAATCGTTGGAAGGATTTGATAAACCATTTCAGGTCTTAATTGATTGTTCACGCTTACGGTGGTTTTCAGACAGCATACATTAATTTTCGTCTCCCCCCTCCTCTTTTCAGAACATAGATGGACTCGTCCTTCTAAATAAACTGCCAAATCGCTGTCCGTGGTGCTAACGTTTATTTTTAAATAGATAAATAAATAAATACCCCGTTTAAAAATCATTAAATGCAAACCGCCACTTCTTTCAAATGTTTCTTGCCGTTGGTTTTTTTCACACCTGATGATGACCGTTTGTGTTATGGTCGAAACGTCGTGAGAATTTTTATTGTTTTATATATATATTTTATTATTTTATTGTTTCCCTTCAACGTGACTTTACCGAAAGAGCTAAGAATATGAATTACTGCAGTCACGAAAGCTTTAAATCAAAACTTTAAATCGACGTTTATATATTTACGCGATCTAACCCAAATGAAAACCTTTATTATGGAAAAAGTTTCCCCCGCATAGCCTTTAACACAGCGTTTGGGGCAAGTGCCTGTTAAACTAGATCTAAACTCTTTTTTTTACGAAACCAGTTAAGCTTGGTTCTTTTGGCAAAGTCACTGTAGGTATACAATACATGAAATCACGACGTTTTGGGCGTCCGTCATCAGGTGCTGTTGCTGTGGTCGTCCCACCTGATGACGGACGCTTGTGTTGCGCCCGAAACGTCACGTGATTTCATTCATTTTATTTTCTCCCCACGTGACTTTGCCGAAAGAACCGAACAGTATATGGATCCCTGCAGTCACGACAACTTCAAATCTAGAAAGTTAAGGTCCCACTGAGCTCTTTAGCTCGGTTTTTTTGTTTGTCCAGTAGCGACTTGACTTTCACAAATGAAAGCTCAACGAAGTGGCGTTGGCTCCATCATCATCATCATCACCACCACCACCATCCTCACGTTGAAATGTATCGGAGCAGCCAAATAATTGAAA